AGGCAAATTCAAGTACATCTGCGTGGTGATTGATAGTCGTAAGAGACCCCTTTTCTTAAATATTATTCACGCCTTCCAAACACTCTCACGCCATTATTGACTGGGAAACCCTCCAGCCATTCTCATAGGACTCGCAACTAGGTCCAACGGTTGCGCTCAGCCATTGACGTTTTCTGAAGATATAAATATCCCTCCTCAACCGCAGCGACAAGCTCAATGAGAGCCAACCGCAATGACACCTTTGCCCCAGCCTTGCTCCTACGGCAATAGATCATCGTCGATGCTGCGTATGCTGCGATGGGAATCACCGCACCTCAACCGCGCGAGACGCATGTAAAATCTTCAAGCCGTAGATAGTTATTACACTCCTCGTCTAATGCCATCGTGAGATTATTCAGCACTTAAGAGCAAACAATAACCAGCGAAGGACGATGGATGGTTCTGAATCTGAAAGTTATGTCCATGCAAAATACTGATTACCCTCTTAGACCAGCAATTGTCATCAGCTCTCACTATGTCCTGGCGAAGACATTGCCCTGACAATCATGATTGCCTAAAGTTCCCGTGTCCTTCATCAGACTCCATTAATAGGTACAAAACTCATTCCCAGCTGCCTTTCCCTGATATAAGTAAGGCAATGTTTCCAGTGCTTTAATGATCCAAATCGAGATGCATTCCTTGTTCTCTTCAATCACTTTCTGGGATATCTTGAGTAAACTTTTGCGCACCCAAGCCCTATTATTAGAAGAACTCTTGCCTATTTGGTCTGCTCACAAGTCATCCATCGCACCAACCCCATCCCCGCTCTCTTCCAACCGTTTATTCATTCACATAGGCCAGTAGGCCTACCGACACCAAACGCTGAAATACTCCTTCGAATCCACGAAAAGACACTCGTCTATAGGTTAAGCACAGCCTGAGGCTGCGTATTTGATTGCCCTCGGCCATCAGGGATGTTCACCCCCCCCCCCCCCCCCCAAAAGTCACGCTTGTGGCTGAAGGAACAGGCCCATTTGAGCCTGGAAACCGTTCTTGGTTCGATGGTTGCACCCTTATTTATACTGGCATCGACTGGTTAGTATGTGAAGGTATGTTAGGAGTTCAAGACTGATGAAGGACATGGATATTGATGAGGTAGTAAATATTCAAGAAGAGCATGCGACGCTTTGCTGGTACCTAAAAACAATAGTAAGTTATAAATATTAGCCCTCAACAAAAAATGTTTTTAAAAGTCTCATATTAGTGTCTGGTGAAAGCTCTGCGAGCAGTGAATGTCGTATCACAGATGGAATATCTGGCCCACAAGGAGTCTCTTCCAACAATAGCACCATCCGTCCTCGAGTGCTCTCTTGCAGCATTTATTCGCAACGTATATACGAAAGATGAATCAGTGACTGGTAGTTAAACGGCACCCAGCTGGTAGCACACAGAGCCAAAGTCTGACCATGCACCCAGCATTACCAAATTGAGGTTAAATTCTCCCTTGCGATGAACAGACGAGGTTTTTACCGGTTCAATTTGCTAAAAGATTACGGATATGCACCTCGAGGCTCTTTTATATCCAGCCGTTGCGGAACCAAGCTTGTGCTACCTAGCCGGCCTTGAAGATTCTCTTCACCGTCTTCCCCCCGAACGACATAACTACGGAGCCTGTGATATGACCACTTCCCGCAACGCCAGATCCCACCCCATCGCTGGGTCTATTTAAGGCCGAACATGAATTCTCTAAGAGGGGAAGCCCACGGAAAATTGGAGCATGTTATCGTCCGTTTCAGTACAGCGGAAATTACCAAGTTCTCCTAGACCACGGCTCGTCGATCTCTCGTCAGAGCACGTTCTAACCTGAAGACCTCGTCTTTTTTTGAGACACCCAACTACAAGTCATCCCTGTCCTCCTTTCTTCCGAGAGTATTCGCTTAGACCATCACGCTGGACGACACGGCAAGCCCCCAAAGACCCGAGTTATTTGCTGCATCTACAGCAAGACATCTTGTCTGGAAACATTATGCGCTTGCTAGGCTTTCTCCAAAGATAATCCAGTAATGGAATCTTGATGCATTGTTGCTTCTGGCTCGCCAAAAGTCTGAAGCAGATATCTCAGTCTACTTATGCCCTCCAGCTCGCACCGCTCCTTCGGGAACTCCAGACCGAACAATGCAGGCTAGCGATATATTCGACAGCTTCATCGCTCTCTCGGTCTTGGGTAGGACAATCAGCTGCTTCGTGTTGGTTGCGATCAGAACATGAATCTGGAGAACAACGCCAGATCTGGGAAGTAAGCCAATCCACCCACCAAGCATCCAGCCCCTACCACGTGGTAACGTTCTGTCCATCCCAGGCTTATTGCAAAGGATACGCCAAAACCGCAACCAAAAGCAGCCAGAGAACGGTGAAGAGCTAGATCAGTCCACGACGACCGGTCACTTCTCCAACGTCATGTCATCTCCTCTCTGCTTCCATCAAGCTAAGCCCGACACCTGTGTTTGATCTACAACCCAGAAGGGTCGACTGCATTGTTGTCAAGACAATTGACAAGCGCTCGCTCCAACTACCTTTTATATCGGCAACACAATAGTTACTCCCATCAAGCCGGCGCAGGATCGACATCCATGACATGGAGCCAAGCTACGAAATATCAACGTCACAGAAAACCAGCGAGACCAAGTACTTCACACTCTAAACGTAAAAACAAGTCATTTTCGCAAAGCCACCCCGCATCTTTCGGGGTAGCATCCTATGCCGAGATGTGTACACTACAGTTACAAGCCTCTAGACCACCTCAAACTTCGTGACGCAAATCCAGATGAGGCTCGTCATCAGGTCCATTTTTCTATCCTCGTGTCATGACTACCGCTTCACCTCAGAGCGCCCCTCTGCACAACATTCCCGGGGCCTCAGACACACATCCACTGACGCATTTCTTGCCTTCCACATTTACTGCGTCTTCTTGGCCTGTCCCGCAACAGCCGTGGGCGCGCTGTACATCCACACGGCAGAGAACAGCACGAAACCAGAGACGGTTGCGAAGATGCCGCCGAGCCAGGGCCAGGCGCCCGAGATGACGTACGAGCGCGGCCACTCGTCGTGCGCCATGTGGCGGACCGAGACGGTGTTCTTCTCCTCGAGGTAGTTGAGGAAGGGGCGCTTGTAGTTGATCTTGAAGTTGAAGATGCCGTGCTGGTCGGGCAGCACGAAGGAGACGGCGAAGGTGGACGCGTCGCCGGTGGTGGCCTTGGGCTCGAGGCGCAGGCGGTGGAAGGGGGACAGCATGCTGAACTCGAGCTGGAGCTCGTCGTCGGCGGGGACGGTGAAGGGCGTCCACTTGTCCCAGGAGTACTCGGAGACGGAGATGGTGTAGGTCTGCCTTTGGTTAGCATTCTATCTTGCAATCTTTCTCATTCTTCGGTTGTCAACTTACCACCTCGTTCTTGACCCGGTAAATCTCGGGGTTCGTGTCGTTGGCAGCCTCGTTGAGGTGGTGCTCAATCTCATTCACTCTAACAACGCCAATCTCCTTGAACGTCCAGCCGGCAAGCCTCTTCGCAAACTCGCGGTTCCACGTCTTGACCTCCTTCGCGGCACCAGCAGGCTTGACCTTGGCATCAAACCACGCATCGCTCAGCAGCTCCGCGGATCCCAGAAGAGTGAAGCGCGCGCTGTTGCGAGCCTGGAACGCAGAGACCAGCGATAGCTGCTGGCCCGCGGCGAACAGGTCCGCCGCGTCGACGGCCTCGGCCTGCTCCTTGGGGTTGTAGCTGTACGCCGTCTTGGGCGCGCGCACGATCGGGGTGAGCAGCTGGCCGGCGCCGAGGACGTGGCCAATGGCGTGCGGGAAGGCGACGACCTCACTGTCCTGGGAGAAGTAGGTCTTGAGGCCGGCGCGCAGCGGGGCGGGGGCGGGGAGGGCGAGGACGTCGTGCTTCTCGGGGGCGCTGAGGGCGTCGTAGTTGAAGTGGTCGACGACGAGGCCGGTGCGGTCGGCGGGCAGGGCGATGTCGAGCTCGGCGAGGAGGCTGACGAGGGAGCTGGGCACGGTGGCCTCGGAGGAGAGGGTGAGGAGGATGTTGCCGTCGGCGTTGATGAACTGGAGGAGGATGTTGGGGGTCAGGTTGGGGCCGAGGCCCTTGATCTTAGAGGGGAAGAGCAGGACGTGGTCGTAGACTCTCTCGCCAAGCTTGAAGAGTTGCAGAGACTCGCTCTTGGGCGACTCGTATGTGATGCTGAATCCGCGGCCTGCAAGGTTGCCCACCAATTGGTTAGCCAATCTTCTCCCCACAGCTTATTTCAAGCTCCCATGAGCAGGAGAGGCAGCTCACCTTCCAAATCTCCGAGGAACTTGGAGTACGTCTCCTTCTCAGCGACGTCGTCCATGATGGCGAGCAGCCGGCCGCCGGCAACGCTGACAGCGTGCACGGCGGCGGCCAGGAACAGCAGACAAAGCGAGAGAAGAGACCGCATTGTGCAATTGGCCAAAAACAAACGGAAGAACAAGCCTGCGGTCTGGCTCTTGGGGGTATTTGTTCGTGGGTGGTGGGAAGGGAAAAAAAAAAAAGGGAAAGTCGGCGCACAGCTGTGGTGCGGTTGCGTTGCGTAGCGCTGCGGCGGGAAGAGCTTCAGCACTTTTGGTGCATGTGTCTTGAAGCTTGGGGATACGTAGCCGTTGCCAAGACTGTCGGAGAATCCACGGCAGAGTGGGTGGGAGTCGGCAGCTGGCGCACCAGTGTGGTCGCCAACAGGGGTAGAGCAGTCGCGGCCAGTGGAGACAGCGCCCGCCCCGGTTGGGACGACCCTCGAGGTTGAGGTTAATCCGGCCACAGTTAATCCGACACTCTCCGGCCGGCCATGCGGCTCCATTCTGAGCTTCGGCATCATCGAAACCGTCCCTCAGCCATCGCATCAAGCACCCGACGACATTACCCCCACGGTCAATTGAGTACGCACAACCCGGCCCCCGCCATTCCCACCTCGCAGAAGCTAATCAACTTCCCTCAGCGCCGAAAATGTCCGCCGCATCCCCCCGATTCTGGGCCGGGCCCATCCGCTACCTCCGCTGGTCCTCCCGCGAGAAGCCCGCCTACTTCTGGTCCGTCGTCCTCGGCGCCCTCGGCCCCATCTCCGTGGCCGTCGTGCCCCCCTTGAGGAACCTCGTCGGCGACTACAACGCGCCCCCCATCCCCGTCTCATACCCTGGTGAGTTCGACCGCATGTGCGCCATGCAAACCTCGATTCTGGGCTCTGTCCCAGCACGATTCTGGAATGCTAACAACAATGGTGCAGTTCCTTCGGGACCTAGGAAGCAGTTGACCGGCTACGACGACGAATGAGCACCCCCAAAAGATACCTGGCTTCATCCGAGCGAAAGACAAAAAAAATCACAACATGTAAATAAGGCGGCGTCTGGGCTTTAGACAGCAAAGCAGGGAGAAAAGAGCGAGTGGCTGGGGGCATGCCGGGCCGAATCTCGTCGCTATAAAGACATGGCCTGCTTCCACTGGGGGAACGCCGACATTTCACGGTGCTCAAGCTGTACACTACCCAATATGCAAAGTTCTATCAATTCTCTTGCGCGCGCGGAGCACGCTTAGATCTCTCCCCAAGTCGCTATTGTGAAGGGCTATCAAACAAGACAAGGATAACGCCAATTCTATGCTGGGTCGTGTAGACGCCGCTATGCTTCCCCTTACCAGCTTGCTTTTCGGTGGTCACCTCTGCTTACCATGTCGAGGTGTTGCTCATTGGGTAGACTCTATCTATCTCTCTGAACCAAGTTCCACTCGTACTGCGAATTTTGTCAGTGATTCGTTCTGTAGAACGACTTATGGGAAGAATCTTACCACTCGCCCGTCGTCGTCGCCGGTGTAGACGCATTGCGGCATGGGAGTGATGCATGTAATGCCTGCATCGTAATTGGCGCCCACTTCCGATCGTGGGTCCACATGGTCCAACCGTCGGAGCAGCTCCAGAATCCACCTGCCGTTCTTCGCGGTCTTCTTCCAGACATTCACGCGGCCTCTCTTATGGCCCGTGAATATGAGGTAGTTTTCCAGCCACTCATTCCCTGCGCCCTCGTAGAAGGCACATGCATGGACATAGTCGTCCGGCTCGGCGCAGACGTTCTGATCTAGGATGACTGTGCCGTTGATTGTGTAAAGTACCACATTAGGTCCGGACCCCAGCATGATCTCTCCAGAGACGTCATTGATGCGAGCGCATTCCACAGCTCTTGAGAGAGGCAACTTGCGAATGAACTCCAGCCGGTTAAGGTCCCAAAGGAAGGCCTGGCCATCTGTCGACACGGAGACGAATGTGCTGAATGACTTGGAAACGGCCATATTGGTCACAGGAGAGCGATGTCCAAAGAGCGATTTCCGAGGGAGCAGGTCCACGACCTTTCCAGGAGCGGTGTGAACCGCGTAAACAGAAATGACGCAATCCTCTCCGGCGGTAATGAGGGTCTTGGAATCCGCAAAAGTGGCGCAAGATAGCTGGCCGATGTGAAGGTTTTCGAAAAGTCCCGCCGGCTTCTGATCATTAGTTGAGGCTCGTCCAGAGAAAGTACCAGGCTTTCTTACCCTCCTGTTGTCGCTGAAGAAGAACCGGACACTGTTGTCGGCGTAGCCCCACTCGAGGAACTTGTCGTATGGCGCAACATTCAGGCGGAAAGGCGAGGCGCAGATGAGCCGGTCGATCTTGGGGGAGTAAATGAGTGATGCGACCCTCTCGTGCGATTCTGTTCCTCGTGTTAGCTGGATTTCTCCCCCTAAGAGAATAACTTACCAAGGAGTGGGTGGGACAGCCTGGTCAAGGCGTAGACGGATGTATCCAGACGCCTGATCGGGCACGATGCGTGCTCACGAGCGGGATGGGACCGAGTAAAGACTTGGTGAGGCGTCTGCCCAAAATTGTGGATCACACCAGCTGTGATTCTCCTCTCTTGGGGATCGCTAATGTTGTCAAGATCAGTTGCTCCGCGGTACGACAGATGGTGAAAGACGTTCAAATTGTCGACGGCAGCGTCGCCTCTTTGCTTGTATCCAAATACCAAATCGATCCATTGGTTCAAGTGCTGGCTGACGTATGGGCTTTCGAGAGCTTCACGATGCTTGGCAATAAAGATCTTCGGGTCACCCTTGGCCCACGGGGGAAGGACTACATTATTGACCTTGGTACCGGTGCTTTCACGGTTGCCGAAGTTGTACTGGTTGATGTTGGTCAAGAACTCTGGCAAGCAGAAGAACTCCGGGATCAGCTCCCTGACATCCGCCTTGTTGTCGCAAGAGGCCGACTGCCAGGCATGAGGAATCGATTGGAAAAGACGATCCGCATGATCGAATGATCCGCCCTGAAGGAGGATATATGACTGGACAAACGGCGGCAGACGGATGAGATACGATGACACGATCATAGCAGAGGAGTAGTGCGTTCCATAGTGGAAAGGAGTCTCCCCAATTTCTGCCAAAGCATCATAAGATTCTCTGAAACCCGAGACGCGACCAGATGTCTGGGCACCCATCGGCTTCGAGAGGTCTCGGAAGCTCGCTGGATCGTTGAGATTGAGCTCTTCACTCGTGTAGTCAGCCAAGACCCACGGGAAGACGGGGTACTGGGTGAGATCGTTGAACGTGCGACCGGCCATAGTGTTGACGAGCATCAGGTAGTGGAAGTTGGACATCTCGCCCTTTTGCCATTTCCTCATTGCTGGGTTCCATGGCGTCGAGTTGAAAATACTTCCAAACTTGGAACCAAAGCCTTGGGGCTGTTCCTCAGATACCTTCAGCGCCTCCAATCGCCAAGCATCTTCGGGGTTGGGCAGCGAGCTGGCAGCATTGGTGTGCGGCGCCTTGCTCATCAACTTGCCAAAAACTTCATCTCGGATGTTGGGGTTGATGGAGGTCAGCAGGTAACTGCGACCATCGGTGAAGAAGACCTCGATGGCGACATCTCGGAACAGGAATCTGCGCTTTGAGATACTGATCACATCATACCACCTCCAGCTCCGCGATTCTTGTTCGCTTCTACTGGAACTCTGGCGCTGCTCTGTCGTCTTCGCATTCGTGATGATCTCAGAGAACGGGTCTCGCTCCTCAGGGGGAGCTTGCCATGCGTTGACAATCTCCCCAGAGGCGCATTGGAAGACGTTATCCATGATGTAAAGGGCATCTTTGCCGATGATGAGGATACCCTCACACCCTTCCAAGCCTACGATGCGTGAAATGTTGTACACCGCCTGGACCTGATCTCCTTGCTCCAGTCGCCTCATAACCTTGCGGTTCTTGTCTTCGAAGCCATCGTCACCCTCGTTGGCATCATTGGGGTCGTCGACCAACTCAAAGTCCTCTTCAGTGGCTACAGCGGACTCGTTGGCTTCCTCTTCCTGTTCTGTATCCGGGTGCGAATCGGTAGTATCTTTGGCGCCATCAAGGCCAAGCTGTAGCTGTGACGATGCCGGGGTGGCTGGCTTAACCGGAGACGGAGATATCTGGGCCGGAGCCATGTTGGTGTTGACTTTGAGGGATGATGGCGTCGACGGAGCTTCGCCTGCTCTGCGCTTTGGCTGGTAGTCTGAATGTTTCTTTGAATAATCCGGAAGAAGCCTCAGCCGCATTCGGTTGCGACCCTCGGTACGATCGAGCTTCCACTTCAACTGAGTCTGCTCAGCAAAGACCGCACCGGGTCGTTTGAGATCCAGGTCCATCTTCAGGAATGCCGCAGCCAGATAAGCCATGTCATCCTGTTGGTCCTGAGTGAGACGCTGATGCTTGAAATGCTCGCTGTTGAAGATGCTCTTCATCCAGGCCCCGTTTGCCATGTCGTGCCGCAAAAGCACGTTGTCCATAGTCAGCGACTCTGTCTGCCATGCCTTGAGCCGATCCCTGCGCTTTGCCAAACGGTACTTAGCCGAATCTATAGTTCGCTGGTTCTCGACAGCCACAAACTCCTCCCATGCTTTCGATATCCCCCCAAAGAAGAAGGCATCCAACGAAGCGCGGTGCTTGTCCACCCACTCGATGAACGTGTCATCGTCGACTTCAGTGAGCTTAACAGCGAAGTCCTTCGTAAGGTGTTGCTGGTCCGGTTGCACGCATTGCCGAAAGAGGACTTTGGCTTCATCTGGTTTCTGAACCAGCATGATGCGCATGATAGTTGCCGCGGCAGACCGAATGGAGGCGCGGGGGTCGACAAGCTTTGTATAGAGCTGATACCAGAGGAGCTTCATAAACTCCTCCTCGTTAGAAAGACAGCCGAGAATAGGCGCCTGCCAGTAAAGAATCTTGCTCATGAAGTCCTTGGCGCTGGAGTCCGGCGTATCGGGATCATCTAGCTCGGAGAAGCGAAGCAGGAGGAGCTTGAGGAAGCACTGGCGTATCGTGGACACTGCCTGGCTGCAAAGACGAACGCTCTTGACGCTAGCGACCTCTGGCCGTTGAAGGTACTCCAGAACCATGCCGGCAAACTCCAACATTGGCTCTGTGCCATTGATAAACCAGCCCTCAAATATTGACTCCGTGACATGAGCGGCGAGACGGCCCATGTTGGTGAGGATCTTGGGCTCACACAACACCTTTTGGTTTGGTTGGATATGAGTTCCCAGGCGCTGGAGGGTGTTTCTAAGCACAAAAGATTCAAAATACGCCTGGTGCTCTTGGAAGCCCGGCGGGATCTTCAGGAACAAACCAAAGCCTGGAAACTCTTTCCGAGTAAAGACCTGGTCAATGAAGACGCTAATGACCAACTCCAATAGGCCGTCCAGGGTTGCGCTGCTTGATTGCTGCGAGGCAAGTTTCTTCTTTGGCGACATGACTGGCGCGAATCTCGCAGAACTGGGTGCCTTGGGAGATTGTTGATTCGTGAGAAGAACGAAACCTGATGCTTTCCGCAGAGGGGTTCCCCGCGGGTTGCCTGCAAGAGTGGCAACAGCATCTGTGCTTGTCGTGCGGACAATGGGTCCAGGCTGGGAGCCAGCAAGAGGACGTATCATAACGTCGCCGCCCTCGAATGTCAAGGCAGAGTCCCGCGAGTTGAGTTCCGTGTCCGGTGTAACGGCGTCGGTGCTGACGATGATCGGATACGCGGCCCAAAGGAGGTATCTCACATACTCCGATGTGAGGGCGAAGTCCCTAAACTCCTGAGAGCGAGAGTGCAGGTCTGCCATGAACCGGATGACCGTATAAAGCATGGGCGCGTTGCTAGATATCTTTTCGCTGTCGCGTTGGGCGTTTTCTGCAGGTTGTTAGCTACGCCGAGAGTCGCTGGAGGATGCGCATACCTCTTGAGTCGAGGCCTCTCGTTTCCATCGACTTTGCCCGTGGTCGGGACTCCAATCCCTCAAAGCCGCTTGCCTGAAGATTCTGTAGTTTCTGAGGAGAGTGAGGGGAGTTGGGGTCCTCCTGGTGCTTCATGACATCCTTCAGACCATGCTGTAACATCGACGTAATGACTTGGAGACTCTCCGGGTAGGTGATTCTAGACTTGCCAAATGTTTCGAGCAAGCTGGAGAACTCAAAGTTCCGCTCCAAGTCGATCTCAGCCACATCAAAGCCGAAGAAGATGCAGAAGCAAATCGGCCACAAGGAAGGGATATACCACCAGCGCTTCAAACGGTGCGCCATAATAGTGAAGCCGCCTGTCTTACCCGAGAATTTCGACGTATACGTGGAGCCGTGGGTAACGAGCAGTCTGGCCAAGATCTTGGTGCCATTCATTACAGTCTCGGGGTCGTCGCTCGCCAAGAGATACAGTAACCACTGGTCCATGCTCAATAAATATAATTGGTTTTCGTCAGGCGGCGGTCTCACCTTATTGGTCACTGTTCTGGCGAACTTGCTGATGTTGGCCTTGTTACCCTTCTCACAAAGGAGAAGAGAGTACATCCCAAGAATCTTGGCACCTAACTGCTTCTTCGTGAGGAATCTAGATGTTGTGTTGCTCGAGGCACTGTTAGAGTCGAATGTGGCCCTTCTGGCAAATCCGGGAGTGGGGGATCGAGTGATGGCGGAGGCGGGTCGGGGGGTCCTGACGAGCGATGCGATGGGCGAATGATAGGCGTAAGTGATGAACAGAGCGAGAGAGCGATGCACTTCCGCCGTGTAGTTGCATTTAACAAGGTGCTCCAGGGCGCTCATGAAGTGAGGCAGCACCTCTTCTGAAATTGACTCTGCCTTCATAGCATCAAGTAGTCGTTTAACGATTCCTAGAGGGATTAGTGTTGATCTACATGTCAGTAATTGTTTAAACTTACTCATACGCATCAGTCGCCTGCTATTGAACTGATGGTATTTGCTCTTGACGGAGAACGTCACAAACTGCTTGTAGTAAAGCTCCTGGGTAATCGGAGCTGACCGCCGCCAGGTGTCGAAGTCAATGAGCAGGATACGATATGCCAGAGGATTCACGATGAATGACTCCAGGGGCTCGGCGTGCTTGTATCCCACAAAGTCCAACACGAGACTCAAGAGCTGAAAGCTCAAACGGTCTCGCTCTTCACTTGTGATAGGCAACCGCAAGTTTGCATTATCGGCACCGAGGTTGACGGTGTAGCCCAATTTTGCTCTGAGGAGCATGCCGAGAATTGCGTAGCCGTTATCGCGTTCCATGGCCTCACTGTTTCTCCAGCTTTTCCGGATGCAGAGGAATGTCATCTCAACTGCCCGCACAGTCTCTTCTACCGTAGCCGCACGCTCCACGATCTTGAGAGCAAGTGGAGTAAAGCCAGCCAACCTCCAGAAGTTATCATCGAAGTAGGAAGGTGTGGCGGCCACGGGGCTTCCGGTCATGACAGCGATTCCATGGGATCGTGCCAAAGCGTCAAGAAGACAGGGCAGAGCAGTATTGACCGCGATGGTCGAGCCGGTCCTATGAGTCATTTGGATGAGGTTGGTTGCCGCGCTTCGAGGCAATGCGCGGTACAGCTGGGTATCTTGATACACGCCATCCTCTCTGAATACGCCTGCCGGAACAATGCCGAGCAGAATCTTGACCTCTGGCAGTAGACTTCCAGCCTTATCGCGAATAGCTCTAATAATATCGGAGCTTTCGTCTCTGCCAGGATGGAACACTTCATTTCTCAAGCCGAGAGAGGCGGAGGCTTCGTAAGTCTGAAAGCCGCCGAGGCTATCTTGGAAGTTGCCTTGGTATTTTGGCGATAGACCATAGTGAACAGCAAGAAAGTCGTCACTGAGGACATCCTCGAAGAGATGTGCAGATGCAAGGGACCATTTGGAAAACACCAATCCTGCGCCAACCTGGCTGGAGAGATCTCTTGGAGTACCCAGAAACGCTTGAACAGGATGCGATTTGGCATTGGCAGATGCGAAAGAGGCAAAGCTTTCAGTGCTGCCATTTGTGAATGGTGGTGGGGAGGGGTAGGAGCACTTGATTTGCTCAACAAACTCGCCATTGACGTACAGAGAAGCCTTACTTGCAGTCATTGTCTTTGGCCGTCTGTGAACAAGGGCAAGATGGTACCATTGCTTTTCTCTGAAGGCCATACCCTTGAACCTAACACTTGGGCGACTGGACGTAACAGAGGTCTGCAAGATGAAGTTGTGGGTATCTCTCTCGAGGTACATCAGAAGAAAGCATGTCTGGGTGGCGTCAAAGACACCAAAGAGGGTAGTGTGAGCTGCGGGATCGTATCTGTCCACGCGTATCCATGCTGTAAAGGTATAGCCGGGGGAGGAGCTTGGCGGAAACGAGCGACCCAGCGTAGGCAGCTCGATGGAAGAGTGGCCATGTAGAGAGAGGTCGAACTGAAAGAAAGGGGGTCCAGTGTAGCTTGACGCCATTTCCAAGCAGAACTCTGATGCCTCTGGTGAAGGATTTGCTAGTAGGAACTGGGTGTCTGATGGTTGGTTGACGCCCAAGTACATGAGCTTTTTGCACAGAATAAGAAGCTTGTCTTTTTCAGGCTGGCTTAATCTTGGCTCGGGGTCGAAGACGACCCTCAAGAAGCGAGAGAGAACGCCAGTGGTATGTAGCGCGGACAGATTGAAAAGGGAGATTGAGACCACACTTGACATGATCTCGAGAACAATCATCGAACAGGGGTTGGCCGGCATGTCCTCCGCTCTTGGTATTGACTCCCAAAAGCCGACGACGGCGCGCAGGATTTCGGGGTTGCGGAAGACGGCCTTCTTCTGGACGATGTCGCGTACCTCCTGGGCATAGTCTCTCGTCTTTTGGGGTGCTGATATTGTCTGTTCTGTCGCATCGTCTTCGGCCCCCTTTTCTGGCTCCGGCTTGGCATCCTCGACCGTCGTGGGTGTAGATGCAATCGACTGGCATAGAGCGTCCACTTTCTTGTCGCCCAGCGAGAAAGCCAGAAGCTTGCCAAAAACTTGACAATTTGTCCACAGGTCCGAGTCGCTGCCTCCAAGCCCCACGCTGGCGATAGTCTGCTCGATAGCTTCCCACCCACCTCCTTCGACTCGATGACGGAAATAGCGTTTGTTCCCAGGGTGGTCGTGGAATGCCGCGGCGAAGACGTCCAGCACGGCCTCGAGTAGTCCAAATAATCCATTCTTCTCCTCATCTGTTCGTCGCTGGGGGTTGTAGAATCCCGAAAAGGATCGCAGCACGTCGAGCAGCTGCGTGAAGCCGCGCAGGTGTCGAAAGTCATCTTGGGGTGGGCTTGGCGGTTCGGTGGCGGCAATGTGCTGGCGGATCTGGCAAAGGCTCTTGAGCAGTACGGGAAATTCGGGGTAGCCGTCGGTAGATTTTCGTTGTCGCAGGCCGTTCGTTAAATCTTCGAGCATGCCGCGCAGGATCTCGGTAGCCTTGGAGGTAACTGCGTGAGAGGACGCAGAGGTGGAGGAGCGATATCTCCTCGATACTTGCAGCGTCGCCATGATTTGAAATATTTCTTGTGGCTACCAGTGTTCAGGTCGACAATCCTTTCATTCCAAATTCTTCGCCCCCAGCACCCATCGAGGGTCCAGGCAGTCGTCAAAACTGTTCGGCATCGAAGTAGGATACGGCTTTTGGATAGGCGTCGCAGCTCGAGGCTCAGAAACGGGCGGGTGTCGGGTTCGGAGGGAGACGCAGGCGTAGGGGATTGATCGACTTTCGAACCGGTCCCGCCCAAGGATAAGAGTGCAGTCGGTGGATATGACGATAAAATAGAGCGAGCTCAAAATGCTCCAATGACGTCCAATAGCTGCGCGTTATCACGAAGACGGAGACGGAGCTGGCTTGGGCGAGCTGCGAGTGTCAGCCTCGAGGCGCGCGGTGTGGCTTGGGCCGTTCTCAGTGGCCGCCTCATTGGGTCCAAGAGCGGAACGTAGCGGCAGACGTGGGAGGCACCACTCAACGGCAGCCCGCGGGCAGGAGCAGGTCTGGCGCCCACTGCCAGTCGGTGCAGTGTGCTGACCGCATGCTGAGCCGGGAGTGGGGTAGGAATAGTGGCGGTGCAGTGCTGAAGGATTTCACAGTGTTCAGCGTTCTGTCCCGGTTACTGAGACCTGCCGAGCAGGCCAGCTCCACTGGACGAGCCACTGCGGTCACCATCACTCGGCATGTCAACCACTGAAGCACTTGGAGCCCGCGTTGACGTCGGGTCCCTGTTCCTGGTTCGTCTCCGTCGCAAAGGCACCTAAGGTAGCTCAGCTCAGAGACCATATCGATACGCCGTGCTATTAATGGCACAGCTGCTGCTACTGCTGCTTTGACAATCAAACCAGAGGGAGCATTTGGCGGGACGTCACTGTGGGTTGAGCATGTTACAAGAAGTCATCATCCCCAGACCATTGCATCTCTGCCAGCACTTGACACATAGGAACCCAACAGCCGGACGCTGTCATGTTAAATCGGTACCAAAAAAGCGAAATATTCTAGAAACCGAGCTGGACGTGCTCGGCCCGTAGCAAGGTTCGCCTTGCTGCTGACACATGAATAGACGGACGCATTCCGGAGCAGTTCTGCGCAGTGAGAGCTTCCAGTAGACAGCAGTGTGGAACCCCTGAAACATGACTGCTTCAATCCCGTTCGAGCGCGCTACTTCCATGTGCCAAGTTGAGCAACGACTTCCTGCTCGACCATCAGCTCGGCCTGAGGTTTGACCGTTTGATAGCTGACGCCAGTGTCTTCACTGCCTGGATTGACAGGCGAGAGTGCCATTGGGCTGTACTGTGACCTTTATCAAGGTATTTCGACTGAACACCCTCTTTGATGCATGAAACCCTCGAAAAGCTAGAAGTGCTGGAAACACGAATCAGTACGTGACGGCCTATCAGTCTTTGTATCCTTTGAGTCAGTAGCCATCTACCATCGCATCCAGCGCTAGCTACAATTATAATGCAACGACGCGAACAAGAGACAAAGTCGGGTCAAATGGCCATGTGTCATGACTCCCTTGACCGGGGGTTGCTTGAGCGATCATCGGTTCCGGGGATCGGGGATCTTGCCGTTGGCATTTGAAGCGCAGTTGCCATTGCTGAACACTTGCACACCTGCTGCATCTGGGAAGAAGCTTGGGCGACATGGGTGGTTTCAGTCCGCCTCCTCCCAGACACCAAGACACGAGACTCACCAAGCGCAGGATGGAGTGTTCAGCGATGGTTGGCACAGATCCAACGGCAGATGGTTGCTGGAATTCGGCAACACCTTCGTTGTTCGCTGTTCGCCAGAATGGATGGCATGGATCGATCTAGTCCGCATCAAGTGTTGCCAGCTGGATGGCGTGTCAATCCGGGTCATTGTCCTTGTCTCTGGCCTTTGGACAACGACACGCGTACTGGCTGCATCCATATCTAGTCGGCGCGAATGGCCCAATTATGTCTTTGGGTGAGACGAGATGGTGTGGTGAGATGCGGCTTTCGCATTGACAACGACTCGCAAGCTCATGGCGTTTCTGAGCACGACCGCGGGCGGTAAACAATGTTTATTCGCCTCCAAAGTGTCAAGTTGGTGATGGCGTCGAAGTCGTTGCTGGCACTTCCTGCAGGACCGGAGGAGCAACGCAACCGGCCTTGATCGCGTCCTTTTCGCCGTTCGTCCCTCGAGGAGGACCTGGATGACTTCTCGAGTGACCCCAGACTTGCTCGGCGTTCCGTCTCATCCACTCGCTACAGGCAAACAGTGACAATCCAGCTCGGAGGGAGCTCCCCAGCCAAGCACCAAGGTCCCTCTCACTCAGGCAGCTCAGGCAGCTCCTACGCCAAATGCCCCCCGATGACGGGAAGGCAGGGGAAATGTGAGGCACGTGCCAGGCACACACGGGGGGCGTACCATCTGACCAGTGGGTCAGGCGTGTGGGCTAGCTCGGATCAGCGTAGCGTTGGTGCTGGGCCTCGCCTCCCCGCCTCCATGTTCCAGTCAGACAGCTCGCCGCCCCTTCAAGGTACCTCTTGGGCCGGAGCTTGCCCTTTGACCAGCTCGTCTAGCAGGCGACCGAGGCAAAGGTACCTTGAGGATTGAGCATAGCTCTGAGCAACAGCCGCCGGACAGCAGCGGGTGCGACGAACAGCGAGAGCTCCAGTGGCTACGCAGGCCTCGAGTTCTCCCGCCTCGCCTTCAATCCCCGGCCTGGCAGTGTCCCCGTGAGACACCGTGAGACCCATTTGCGCCGGATACCTTGTAACAGTTAATCACATCATCATTGAGCAAGTTACATGCTCAATGGGGCGGGCGGTGCGATACGCAGCCTGACTTGCTGCTCGCCGCCCTGGCTGGTACGGTCCTGGCTGCATAGCGGTGCTGCACAACAAGCTAAGGGTAGCTCGCTGACCGAAGCCGCAGTCGCACTCCCAGTGACATGCCCGACATGCCCTGTCCCTCCGCCCTTCCGCGGTCAGATCAACAGGCCCAGGAAGGTAGATTGAAGGTGAAAAAGACGGTGACAGGGTAATGCAGACTGTCTGGTTTTCTGAACACGACGGCGATGCGGCTCCCCATCCCTGTGAGTGGTCGGTAGCACAGTTCAACGAAACGACGAAAGCTTCGAGTGTCGAGATAAGACGGGATGGCAGCGCTTGTTAAGCTTCAGGGTCCTCCGGATAGATCTGCCTCGCTCTCCGCTGCGTGAATGTGAATCGCCCATTGCGCGTTATCGCATGCAGCGCTATGCGGGATATGCGGACTGTGTGGATGCCCCCGTGGGTTGGGAGGGGAGAGCTCTCCAAGCTGGGTGAAGAATGCATGAGGAGAGCTGATAGTGCGGTACATGACTTGGCTGCAGCAGCAGCAAAGTGTCCGAGGCTAGGCCGTGTTGTGGTGAGCTGGCTGGCTGGCTGGCTGGCAGAGCAGGTACCTTGCGTTGGCTTCGAGCTGTCTTCGTCTGCTTGCTTCTTCTTTCCAGGGTGACACCGTCTGGATGGACGACACCGCATTCAATAGCGATGCTAGGATACGCTGTCAGAAGCATGGGTCGAGGAGGATTCCAGGGCTGTTCGGCCACCCTGTTTGCCTGCCCATGTTTCGACGCGGTGGTTGATTGCCGCAGTAACTTCGCGACCGCCTTGGCTGTTGGGTTACAGCGTATGATGACGTCGGGGGTTTTGGCTGTGACTCTGACTCTCCAGCTGCAGTCTTGTCCGGACCTTGCTGCTTGTGCGAGCTCAGAGAGCGTGAGAGCAAGGAGATTGTTGGCGTATCGCAACCCCAACAGAGAATCACGAGGCTGATTCAGATGAATAGACCAAAGAAAGAAACCGTTGGCTGGTCAGACTGATGGACGGGAGCTTGAGATGAAGCTTCCATGGCCGTTCGGTGCCGTGGAAGGAGGCAACTGGACGTCCATCAGTACCTCAGGTGCTTCCTGGCCCAACAGGTGTGGAAGGTAGGTAGGTGTACCTGACGGAAAGGGCACTCGCGTGAGTTGCAGAGAAAGTACCTCGCTATCGTCCATACGCACTTTCCCATCCCAAACAGCCTTCCGTATCGAACCAGGTGCCTTGCTGAGCGTCCCAGGGAAACCCCAAACGCGACCCTCCCTTATCGCATTGCCGAGGAAACCCTATCGAGTCATTCCATTGGCTCCCTCGCCCCAACGCTAAGCCGGTTTCGGCCCCTTCAGCCACTCCCCAGCTCTTATCTTAGTCGCCTGCGTCACACTGGGGGGGTGGGCGCGCAGCCGTCCTAAGACCGGCCGATAGCAGCCTGATAAGGTACCTGCTTGCGCCGGACTCCACGAACACTGCGCGACCTGCACCAGGGAGGTACCTCGCTGTGTGGGAGTGGAGGTAGTGTACCTGCCAGGTCCCCATCCATCGCAACAGGTTCCTTACCTCACCAACAGCTGTGCGCACGCAACCGCCGTCGCTGCCTTCCCTTTATATCTACCCGCACCCGCTCTCCGAAGCTTCCCCCATCCCGCTTGCTCCATCTCTCTCTCATCCCCCTCCCTCTCTCTTCCATTGAATCCATCCTCTCTCAACCCATCGCGTACTCGTCGTTCTAGGGCGGCTTTTCAGTTACTTCATTTCCTTCGTCTTGTTTGCAAACGTCTCCGGTAGACTCTAGACTCGTTACCGTATCGCAACCGCCATCATGAGAGGCTTCGTCGGTGCCGTTGCCGGCCTGGCTGCTGTCGCCAGCGCCACCCCCTCCCTCTCCATTCAGACCGTCCACGACGGCATGGCTCCCGTCCTCTCTGCCACCAACGCCGAGGCCGTCCCGAACTCGTACATCATCAAGTTCAAGAAGCACGTCTCGGAGTCCGGTGCCTCAGACCACCACACCTGGGTCCAGCAGATTCACTCCTCCGCTCAGGACGAGCGCCTCGAGCTTCGCAAGCGCAGCCAGGAGCCTCTGGTTTCCGATGTCTTCCACGGCTTGAAGCACACCTACAAGATCGGCAAGGACTTCTTGGGCTACGCCGGTCACTTCGACGAGGAGACCATCGAGAAGATCC